GGGGAGGGGAGGGGAGGAGAAAGGAAAGGAGAAGGGAGGGAAAAAGAGGCAGGAGAGGAGACGAGATGAAAAAGAGCCAAATGAAAACTTTCAACTGAAAAATTCAGTACTGAAGCAAAAAGTTCAGTTACTGGCACAACAGCATGACTAAGAGGATGGAAAAGGAGTCTGTGGATTGAGAGAAAATATATATTACTTAACGGGAACATCAAAAAGAGAACAGGTTAAAAATGAACAGGGGTTGAGGGACTTGTAGGACTATAAAATAGGATCTACCATCATGCCATCAAAGTTTCTGGAGAGGTGAAATCAGACACACCTGAAAAGGAATTCAAAGAAATAATTGCAGGAAAGCTTGAAAAGTTGGTAAGAGACTTAAACCTACCTGAGCAAATCACTAAGAGAACGCATCAACATTTAACTACTGAAAACCGAGGAACACAAACGGTGTAACCAGTCAGAGAAAAACGACACCTTTAGGCAAGCAAGCTGAACGATAGTAGGCTTTTTATCAGGAAACCAAGAGAAATGGCTGTGTGGTCAGTTATTAAAGAAGGGACCTGTGAAACTAAAATTCTATATCAAGTGAAAGGGGGAAATCAGTAAACATTCATATGAAGAAACACTAAGACCCTGGTTTTCACCACAAGACTAGCTTATAAGAATTTCTCTATAAAAAATAGGGAATTCTCTAAAATTTAGCCAGTTGTGGCCTTCTGTATGCATCACACTCTGTTGTATAAGGAAGCTTTGCTGGTGAGAGTTGAGGGACGCACTAGCATTCTCTCCACCCCCTGTCCCACTCTGCCCCATGAGCCTTAGGTGTAGAGGTTCCACTGCAGATGTGTCACCTAGGGCTGGGCATCTCTCAGATGTATGTTCTTTGTGTGTGACAGTTGTGAACTCTGCAGTAGAAAAATACAAATAAATACTGGTTTTCAAGATTATTTGATTGTTTAAAGCAAAAATTATGTAACACTGATGTTTGTAAAGGAAATAGTTAAGGCAGGTATAAATGTGAGAAGAAAAAGAGACATAAAGGGACGATTTCTATGTTTTACTCAAACTAGTAAAATTTCACAACTACTAGATTATGAGGGCCTGCATTTGTAATACATGTACAGCCTCTCAAAAAGCTACTCAGAGACAGCTGGGCATTGTGCTCATGCCTGTAATCCCACCACATGGGAAACTGAGCCAGGAGGATTGCAAGTTTGAGAGCAGCCTGGGGTATATAACAAAGAAATAAAGAAAAACGAAAAGCAAAAGGAAGGGAGGAATGGAGGAAAGAAGAAACTACAGATAAAATGAAATTCCAATGTGTGTGTGTGTGTGTTTACAATACCCACACACAGACAGGAGAAGAAGACATAGGGAGCCACAGACAAAACCAAAACCAATGAAAACGAAGCAGAGGTAGGCTTGAGCCCTAAGATATAAATAATTACATTAAATGTAAATAACCTAAATATATATGTTTCTGAGACGGGGTCTTACTATAGTCTCCAGACTAGTCTTGAACTCAT